CCTTCTGTTCGGTTATGTCGAAGGCCTGCTTGTGGTACGCTGTGACCACCTCGCGTGAAAGTGTGCGTATACGGCTGTCAGTACTCTTGCACAGGGAGCTGGCTTCAGAAAGTTTAAGCCCACAACGCTTTAAGTGAGTGTCGAAGCGAAAAACTGAAAGTAATGCCCCCCCCCCCCCCCCCCCCCCTAGTCACTCGTTGCCACACCCGCACACCGTCACCGTCTTCGCCACAGCTTTCCGCGCTCCGCTACCTGACCATCTCGCACCATATTGTTCCCCCGTTTATCGTCGCCGCCCAATTTCCTCTACTCGCACTGCTTCTGGCCAACGCATGCTACAGCCTCGTCTTGTTGCATTTGGTTTTAGGTTACCTTACGAACTTGCCCAGTCAGACTCAATCTGCATCGAAAGCCGCCTTGTTTGCAGCGTTGCGTAGTCCTCCCCCTCCTGCCATTGTTTCTTTCCATACCGAATTCCTCTTTGCCTTTCATATCTCTCCCCTCGCTCTCCTCTCTCTACCGCACCCTGTCTCAACATGAGCGCGCTCCAGTTTCTCAACAAGAAGTCGTGGCACACGTCGACCATCCGCAACAACGAAAAGGTATGGCTCGCCGAGCAAGCTGCCGCGAAGGAAAAAGCGCGCGTCGCTGAGCTACAAAAGCAGCTTGAGGAGGAGCGCAAACTCGAGGAAATCCAACGTCTCGAGATAGAGTCTGGCCGTCTCGACCCCGCCGAAGTCCTCAAGCGCCGCCGCCTCAATTGGATGTACGAGCACGACCCCGCAGACAAGGATGTGGAGCGCCCCGATTTGAAAAAGAGGCGCCTAGACAAAGACCGCGACGACGTCTTGCTCGGCAAGAAAGAGGTCGACTTGGACGACGAAGCGAAGAAGAAAGAAGAGGCCGAAAGAGCCTTCCTGCGCGACGCGGAGGCCAAGATAAGGGCAGACCCCATGACGCAAGTCGCCAAGGAAATGGCCTTGGCAGAGCAGCTCCTCTCGAAGACTCGATCCCGCACTGCTCCGAGGCAGGAACCTTTGATCCCAGCGCATAACGCGCCCACCAACAAGTACACCCCCGCAGAACTTGCCGCAAAGAAGGTTCGCAAAGAGGAACGCCGCCAAATTCGCGAAGCTCGCCGACTAAAGAAGGAGGAAAAGGAAATGCGCAAGCGTCTCAGAGCTCAGCAGTATGAAACAAAGTTTGTCGAAGTCGATGTGCAACCGAACGACGACAAAAAAGAGGCGAAGCTGTTCTCCACCGACCCGCGTTCTTGCAGCGATGAACGTGGCGAGCATTCTCAAACAAAAACCGACCGCTATCGCTCTTCATCCCCTCGTCGCGATTCAGCAGCTATTTCGGAAGGTCTGAAATACGGCCTTCACATTCCAAAGTCCGGCACCGGTGTCGCCGTCACCAAAGAGTTCACGCCGCGCAATCGAAGCGAGCTTGTCAATAGCAAACATGACAATGCAGGGTGCCGCTCTCCCGTCCGTGATCGTCGCCCAAAGTCTGAGGGTGCCAGGAGACCACCACTTTCGCCGGTCCTGCGAGACAGGGCCGAAGAGAAGAGGCGCCTTCTCAAGGAGATGAAGGAAGACGCCTTGCGCTTGGAAGACCAACGTCGGGTGCGAGCGCAAAAACATGTCCTCGATGCCAATCGCGAACGCGAAGACTTGGATGAGCGCTTCCGACAGCGCAAGTCGAACCTCAGTGCCTGGAAGAACGAGCCAGCAGCAACGTTTGCTCGAGAAACAATTTCTGGTAATCGCTCGACCGCCGACCGTATTCGCCAACGCAGAGCATGGGCTACAAACACTAGCAACGCGCGGTATTAGTCTTGAGATTCGCGCGCCGTCTGAATCCAAGCTTCTGCAAGTGGATTGGAAAGACGCAGGTATGATTTCGTCCGAGCAGCGGATCATCTCGTGGGCATCTTTAAGCGAATACAAAGACAATAGACAAACTACACAAAGATGGCGACTCCCACTGTTAGAATACGTAAGAATTTGAGAATTCGATTAGCGGCATGTTTTGAATGTGAATAAATAGCTAGTAACAGTCGCTAACAGGCAGCAGAAACGCATCAATGATCACTTTTATCATGCTGTTGGGGGATAAAAGAGTGAGAAGGAAGACAGTCTCATCAGGGTGTCATAGTCGATAAAAAAAAACACACAATTGATGGTGCGGTTCGAAGCGCACTGCTCTGCAACCCAGGCTTGGCGGAAACTACTAGTCATTTAAAGCATTAGTCAAAAAGTCTTCGTTAATATCTCGGGCGCTTAAGCAGTGCTAGCGGGAGCCTCTTCGGTTTCTGCGCCGCGGCGATGGTAGTACTCCTTGAGAACCTTGCCTGGAATACGTTTGAGCATGGTCTGAGGGAAGGTGCGTAGCAGGGACCAAGCCAGGTCGAGGGAGGTGAAGATGTCCCTGGTCTCGTACGGTCCCTGGGATACAAACTTTTTCTCAAACTTGTCGTGGAATTCGAGATACAACAAATCTTCGGCAGATAGCGCTTCCTCACCGACGACTGACTTCATGGCAATGACGTCCTTGCCAATGGCATACCCAGCGTAAAGCTGATTGGAAACGTCACCATGGTCTTTTCTTGTCATACCCTCACCGATAGCGGATTTCATCAATCGTGATAGGGAAGGGAGGACGTTGATGGGAGGGAAGATCTGACGATTGTGGAGCTGACGATCGAGATAGATCTGACCCTCAGTAATGTAACCCGTAAGATCAGGAATGGGATGGGTGATATCATCGTTGGGCATGGTCAAAATGGGAAGCTGGGTAATGGACCCTGGGCGCCCCTCGACACGTCCGGCGCGCTCATAAATGGTGGCCAAATCCGTGTACATGTACCCCGGGTATCCGCGACGGCCGGGCACTTCCTCGCGCGCGGCGGACACCTCACGAAGGGCGTCGGCGTAGGACGACATGTCGGTCAAAATAACCAACACATGCATGCCGCACTCGTATGCGAGATACTCCGCAGTGGTGAGGGCCAGACGCGGGGTGACGATACGCTCGATGGTAGGGTCGTTGGCGAGGTTGAGGAAGAGGGTGACCTTGCCCATGGCGCCATTCTCCTCGAAGTCCTGACGGAAGAAGCGGGCGGCCTCCATGTTGACACCCATGGCGGCAAAGACGATAGCAAACTCGCTGCCCTCGGAGTCCTCGGCGTCGGCATCCTTGCCTTGGTTGACCAGGCCGGCCTGACGGCAAATTTGGGCGGCAACTTCGTTATGCGGGAGACCGGCAGCTGAGAAGAGAGGGATCTTTTGGCCACGAGCGATAGAGTTCATGACGTCGATGGTAGAGATTCCGGTCTGAATCATCTCCTCGGGATAGGTACGAGACTGAGGGTTGATACTGGAACCGGCGATGTCGCGATAAGCCTCCGGGATAACCGGGGGGCCGCCGTCAATGGGCTTTCCAGAACCGTTGAAGACGCGGCCGAGCATATCCCTGGACACGGGTGTCCTCATGATGTCGCCCGAAAACTCGACATGGGTGTTGCGGTTGTCAATTCCCGTGGTGCCCTCAAAGACCTGGACGACGGCCTTGTCGCCGTTGACCTCGAGGACCTGGCCGCGACGCTTGGTGCCGTCGCCCAAGGTGAGGTTGACAATCTCTGCGTAGCGGGGAAACTTGACGTTGTCCAGGACCACGAGCGGGCCGTTGACGGCGGCGACGGTGCGGTAGTCCAGACGCGGCTTGACTGAATAGTCCTCCTCAGCGGCAGACTTGTTGATCTGGAAGGCCTCCATCTTAGCGGTGACGGTGTCCATAGCGCAAGGAAGGGGAGGGATGCGCGGGGGGGGGGGGGGGGGGAAGGTGGGAAGGGGGGGAAGGGGGGGGGGGGATTGCGCGAATAGAAAATGGGGGGAA